CCTTACCGCGGCGCTGCCCCACACCTCATGATTTTAGAGCAGGCATTACTAGTTTACAAGACCAAGAAATTTATTACATTGGGATTATAGATATGTTGACAAAATACACATGGAAGAAGAAGACGGCTAATTTTTTTAAGAAATTCTTGTGGAAGCCTGAGACACTTTCAACCATTCCACCCGTAGAATACAGAAAGCGCATTTCAAAGTACACCAAAATTATATTCCCGGATGTTAATGCGACAGATAACACCACTAAGCCGAGTTGCTGAGGGTGGTGGTGGTGGTGGTGGCGTACTGCGGGAGAAATACAATGTACGTAAGGTGGGGTTCCAATTATATGCATAGAAATCATGCTTCGGGTGGTGAGTTTGTTGAGCTGCGTTAATATCTATCAATTTTTGTGCACTTTGACTGTGTTTCTGTGAGTGTATATTAAAAAAAAAAAAAAAAAAAAAAAAAAAAAAGTGTTTGCGAGAATGTGGGCCAAATTAATGAATATATCTTCTTATAAGAAGAATAAATTTCATTACTTTTTTTTTTTTCTTTTGGAAGGCTGCGATGGAAGTAATCAAAGTGCCAATAACATCAGGGCGTATTTTTTCTTGACTTTTGCCGTCCTACCCACTCCCATTTTGATTTCCAACCTTTTGGGGCGATGTCTTGTGACTGGAAGACTCCAAGTAATAAATGGTTTCAGTTTGAATAGAAATGCAGTATGTCACCACAGTGGATGCCTGAATATCACATATTTATATATTTATATATTTAGAATAAACATTGAGGAAATGGAGAAGTCACCGCCTTTCCATTGCCCCTTTTTTTTCCCCTGTTTTATTTCTATTTTTATACCTCTATGGTATATATGTATGTACATATATGTATTTGGAAGTTTTTTTTTTTTTTTTTTTAATATTTCTGTTGAATTTCTTCTTTTTTATTTTTTTATTTGTTTTTCTCGTGGAAGGAGGATAAGTAACGCACACGATTTCTTTGATGTCGCAGAATATTCTGCTGGACTCCAACATCCGCGACTGGGTGCTTTTCCCCCTCATCGCCATCGTCATTTTTGTTGGAATTTTGCGTCACTACGCCGGCCTGCTGATGAAGTCACACCCGAAGCCCAAGATGGAAAAAATGTGCTGCGTTAATATAGCGAACTACGGCAAGTTGCTTCTGGTGGAGGGGAAAAAACTCTCACCGGAAGCATTTAGCCGGCGCGCGGAAGCGATGCGACAAGGTCCACTGCAGAAGAAGGTTGAGGTGGACCCCATTGAGATGATGAACGATCCCTCCATGATGGGAGAAATGATGAAAAACAATATTCTCATGATGGTGCCAAACATGGGCATGATGATGCTGGTCTCTTACTTCTTTTCCGGCTTTGTTGTGGCCAAATTTCCATTTGGACTTGCTTCACGGTTTCGTGGCATGATGCAAAGCGGAGTAGACATTAGCGATCTTGATTGCAATTACGTCACGTCCCTCAGCATGTACTTTCTGATCATGTTTGGCTCTAACGGCCTTCTTCAATTGTTGCTTGGCGCGGATGCTGGCGGCAGCGACCAGGCGATGCTGATGTCACAAATGAATGGCGGCGGCCCACAGCAACCGGTGGACTACGGGAAGGTGTTCAAGTCCATTGCGGAGGAGCTGGAGTTTGCGCAGGGCGGACATAAGTGGATGTACGAGAACGCTCCCGAGTTGCTTCTGAAAGGAAAATAACGGAACGGCGGGCGGGGGTATTACAACCCGCAGCAGCGTTTGCTTTCCCTTCCTTTTTTCTTTTTTCCTTTGCTTCTGTTGGCATTCGTGGCTTGCGGAGCGCGAGAGGGAGTGGGAGGGGCAAAGGCGCAACGGGACACTTTTGAAGGGATACGGAGGAGAAAAAACAACAACAACCAAAAACGAAAAAAAAAAAAAAAACAATAGCAGTCCGAAGGAGAAGGAAGGGAACGGAAAAGGAAAAAAAGAAAAAAAAAACATGCGTTGGTGGCATCCCTTAATGCTGCCCAAGATAATAAATAAGGAAAGAAAAACGAATTGAATTTTGTATTTGTTTTTTCCTTTTTTCCTGTCCCTTTTGAAAGAAAAAAAATTATTTATTATTATTTTTTCTTTTTTTTTTTTTTTTGGTTTTCGAGTGGAAATTGCTTGGCAGCTCAATTTTATTTTATTTTATTTTATTTTATTTATTTATTTTTTTACTTAGTGAAGAAGAAATTTTCTGTATTTGTTTCTTTACCCTTTTTGCCTGCAGGCTGCAGTATTTGGTTAGTTTTGTCAGTTTCACTTTCTTGGGATGGCGCAACAAATGCGATCGGGGGGTAAAAACTGTCACACCGTCTCTTCTCACTTCCACGAGGGCGAGTTGGCTCGGATGAAGCACACACACGAGCTGGTGCGGTGTGATGCTGGGCCTCGTCGCACCACAGTTCCGAGCACCGGTGGCGGCACCAGTGAACTCCCCTTGTCGAGGCGAATCATTCTTCCATTATATCTGCGACCGCGCAATAATCTTGAAACCCTCCCTCGTTTCAGGGCAGGCCCCGTGAATGATTGGAAGAATTCTCTCCGACGCGAAACGGTGGCACTTCCGGTTTTGCACCACCGCTTTATTCGGGAACAAAGCAACACAAACAACATAAATCGTGTGAAATTTGCCTTTCCTGCATATGAGGACGGTTCCAGTGGGAATAAAAATATCGATTTGGACGTGGCTGATGCCACGGTGTACCACGAGGGTCATGAGGAACCCGGGTGGGCAGGGAGAGGAGAACAATCATTTGAAGATCATGTAAGAAGTGATGAACAACGTGCATTAAAAACATTGGAGCGCTTGTTTATTCCTCAGTGGCGTTTACATATGCAATTAAAACGACGCTGCAAGGCACCGGCAATGATCTATTACAGCGGTGGCAACCCTCCGTCAATTCGGCGAACTTCCGTGCGAGATGTGGCTGTCGATGTGATTCTTTCCTTTCTGCGGGCCGGGTGGTGGCGGCCATTGGTAGAGTTTCGTTGCCTGAAGAACAAAGTATTGAAGATTCAGCGTTTATTTCGACGCCACACGCTCTGCATGGATGCTCGTGTGGAGCTGAATTACCGCAAAGTGCGTACTGAGTTTGAGCAAAGTTACTGGAAAGAAGTAGAGGAGGCGCAGAGGCAGGAGATGGGAGAAGAGTTATTTACAGACGGTGACCGCAACGGAGGTGAAATGGAAATAGCGGACTTTCATTTAGTTGGCCCCCTCCCAGAAGTGTTTCTTCGACGCGAACTGCGCTCTGCTCTTTACTGCCACGCACATCGATGCTTGCAAGAGCCCACAGCAGCGAGGGGGCGGGTTTTTTTGCCGAATTTGACGTACTACGCTGTTCTTGACAATGTGTGCTACATCACAAGTGTGGTGCGTGACAGCAATATGCTACGGTCTCACCTCTCCAGGCGTCGAAAGAAGATTATCTCATACTGAATAAACTTGACTGACGCACCGAATGAGAAGTAGTGAGGGAAATAGAAATACACACACACACACACACACACACACACACACACACACACAACACCTTTATTTTGACGTTGCTTGCGGATACGAAAAAAAAAAAAAAGTATATATATATATGTTTAATATGCTTATTCATTATTCAGTGAGTGTTGAGACCCGCTTTAGGGTGAGTGGAGCACCCGCGAATGAAATCTTTGCTGTATTATTACTATTATGGACTTGTCAAATAAAGGAGTTGGATGATTATGAGGATTATGAGATGGAAGGAAACAATACTGCATGGTTTATACAATAGAAAGTAGAATAGTATGCGGCGCACGTGATGTATTATGTGAATTTTATTTTATTAAGTGGCTTTCTTTGCTGAATTTTGTGTCTTTTGTATGAGCAGCACGCAGGAGCCTTTTTTTTTTTTTTTTTCTTCTAGTTTTCCTTCTTTGGGTGAGTCTTTAGAGACATTCTAGGCAATCACCTTTCTTTTTCTTTTTTTTTTCTTAACGTTTATTTTTATTTTTATTATTTATTTTTTACACTTCAATTCTTACCGTTTGCCACGGCACCATTTTGATTTCATCATCATCATCATCAACCCCCTTGTGTTATTTTCCCTGCTGTTCATTTTGATGTTTTTTTTTTTTTTTTTTTTTGTTCTGCTTTTCATATTTTATTTTATTTTTCAGATTTTGAGCGTTTCTCTCCAAGTATTGAAATTTGTGACCAGACACCTGTTTCTGTATGTGTGTTTGTGTGTACTCGCTCCAGTGCGGGCAGGACAATGACGCGTGCTTGCGCTGTGTGAAGACAATAAACGTTCGCGCGGACCCTCTTTCTTATCCATTTTTTCTTTTTCTTTTTTTTGAATTACTGTGTACATGCATGTTTATATAATTATATATAATTATATTTTATTTAGATGTGTATGTGTGCATTATTATTTTTTTTTTCTTTTTTTTCTTTTTTTTGCTGTGGGGGGCGGTAGGGAAGCAACAGGCACGTGATAGTGGGAATTAACTGCAGTAAAGAGAAGGAGAAGAGGGACGGCTCGTCATGCACCTGCAAGTGTACATCGTGAATGGCAAGCGGCAATATACGCTAAAGAAGATGGATCCAGAGGGCAAACCGACGCTCAGCGCCCATCCCGCTCGCTTTAGCCCCGACGACAAATACAGTCGGCATCGCATCACTATCAAACGCCGCTTCAGGGCACTTAAATCGGAGAAGCGCCCCAAGCCGCTGTAGCGCCTCGTCATTAACGACCACGGGGCACGTATTTATTTGATTTTATTTTGTTTTTCACTTAAATAAAAGCACGCAATCCATCTTTTTTTTTTTTTTTTTTCTTGTAGGGAATCATACTGCAGCTAATTAGAGCAAAGTCTTCACAATTTTATTTTATTTTATTTTTTTCTGGGTACTGTGTGCCGTTTTCATTTCACCCTGTTGAATTCTCTTTTTTTTTCTTTGTTTTTGTTTGAGGTAAAAGCAGGAAAGGGGCATGAGACATCCCCCGCGCAGTAGTATTGGTAGGATGTCATCTTTTTCTTTTCCCTTTTTACGGGGCACGCGGCGCGTGCACATTTTTGTTATTGCATTGGTTTGTGTGTTGTTTATTGCTAATGCCACCGTTTTTGTTTTTCGCCCACAGGGGCAATCTTTTTGGGGAGCCCCTGCTGCTGCGGACAGCGCATCGATACGGCTGGACGTGCCGATTTCTTCGGTGCAGCTGCTGGCCGACGTGCTGGCTCGGTTTCCGAATGCAAGGATGGGTTTTGAACGCATCTACAGAATCCGCACTGATTCTGCGCGTCTCTTGATTCCTCCAGAGTTTCAGGCGAGGGCGGAGAGCATGTTTTCTGGCTACAGGGGAACACGCGAAGATCTGCTGCGGGATCTCGAAAATCAGAGTGTGGTGGAAGTTTTTAATCGTGTTACCGGTGAAATGGCGCTTTTTAACGATATCCGCAGATTTAGGCCCGGCGGCGGCAGCAGCACTGGCAGTTGTGCGGAGGAAAGGCGCGTAGTGGCCAAGCTTTACACAGAGGGCAGTGGGGTCGAGCTGTGCGACTTCTGCAACGAGCGACGCACAGCCCGCGATGTATTTGGCCGAATAGACGGCAAATATTCATACACCGCGGCGAATGTCGCCAAGCTTAGTAAGTGGCACAGTCTTATAATCACAAAGGTGCATGACCCTTTGTCCGTGGACGAGGATGTCATTGCGGACATCATTGATGTCTCTCACAGATGGTTCAAAAGGGCCCATCGCGAGGATCCTCTTTATATGTACCCGAATATTATTTGTGATGCCGGCAAAAGAGCGTCTGCTTCCCAAGTTCACTTTCATCTGCAGATGGCTTTAACGAGAGACCATTATTTCTCCGGTACTGAGCAGCTTCGGCG